GATAAGACTTGGCCTAACAAAGTTTGCAGGCCAGCTCCCAGTCCTCTGAACTGACTTATGCCTTTAGTACTTATCTGAACACTGGCATATTTCCTATGGTGTATTACATTGTTTACCACATAAAGTACCTCAGTTAAAATATGTAAATTCACTTCTTAGCATACTGCATAATGTTTTTAATATCACCTTTCTGACTCAACTTTAAGTTTAGGTAAATTGTGAGAGTACACAAGCCTTGCAAGGGAGAAAGACAGGACCACTGGTCCAATCAAGACTTTCTTGCTCAGACTGTACCCTTGGTGCTAATATGTCAACATCCCCTGTTGCCATGCACTTCAGAGTTATTGTAGCCACCTTAGCATAGATAATCAAGGCACAGTAGGATTTGGGTACAGTGACATGAGACAAACTTGTTCTTGCAGTCCTGGTGCTTAAATTTTTGTGGGAAAAGTAAGGTTAACAAATGGTAAAGCTTTGGTTTATAAGGGCTTTGAAGGAAAGTAAAAACTGATGTGGCATAATAGGCTGGGTGTATATATATTTTTTATGACAGTAGGAGCTCAATGAGTGAGGATATTATTATTGATCACTTGTACTTCAACTATATAATACAGCTTAACCACTGTTTCCAGGACAGCTTGGTTATGGAAGTAAATAATAGGTGGCAATATAGGATGTCCTGCTTTCATCGGTTAACAATAAAGAATCACCATAGAGATAAAAACATAAACATGGCTCATATTCTTTTATTCAGTTCTTAACAAAATCTTGTGTATATAACATGTAGTCATGAATTTGGACATTGTTTTATGGAACTTGAGACTTTGTTGATTTTAGCCACAGATATTTGTAGTGTCTTTCTGTGTTTAATGTCATTTGAGAGGATTTATCACTTATTTTTAAACATGTAAAACATTATTGTATTTGACATGTCCATAATGCTGCTGTACACACTGAGTGACACATGTGTACCCCATTGCACCATGGAGTTCTCTTAATCAGAGAAAGAGTTACATTCATCTGCACCATTCTAGCCCATCCTGAGTTTACTTTATGTGTAGGATGATATCTGTGCAGGTCCACTGTGATTCCCCAGTGGAAACACCACAAACAGGTATAGATGTATAAAGGCAGTCATTCAAGGAATAACTGAGGTGAGTTACAGAGAGGGAGTACTATTTTGAGTGATATCGTAATTGAGTGGGACAGGAGAGATGGGAAATTTTCACCATCTTTTTTTCTTACATGAGTGGCTAGAAACCTCTTGTTTCAATAATCCTCACAGCCCCACAGCTCATTTAGCTGTTGACAGGATTCAACAGCTATGTTTAGACTCCACCACATTTTCTGGAAGTCTGAAAAATACAAGTAGCAGCTTCAAGTAAAGAGCAAAGAAAATTAAATCTTTGTTCATTTTTATTTTTAGAGTTAAGGAAAATTAGGTGGGGTTTTGTTCATATGGGCACCACAAGAGTGTTCTCTTGGGGTGATGGCATGTTTTCCATCTTTCAATGGCAGTATTTCTATACATTTGAGAAAACTCACAAGTATACTTAGTATTATATATATTTAATAGAAATGAATAAGACACTCCCTTTCATATCCTGAAAGAATATTAAGCTCCCCTGAACCTTGATTTCTATGTTTTCAACACTTCTTTCCAGTACTGTGGGATCCTTCATGGAAAGATTGAAAGTTTGCGGTGAAGAATTCAGTCCCTACCAGGCCTTTCTTGCAGCCCTGTCTCAATTGAGAAAGCGTCCTCTGGGGTTACACTGCCCTCATCTCATGCACGTAACTAGGAGTGAAGTGGGAGGGCTCCAAGAATCTGTCCTGGATTTTAAATCAGGCTCCTTGGACAGATCCCTGGATGACCTGTGGCTCTGAGATAAAGGTACATCCCAAGTGGGGTCTGCCTGGGGACACCTCAGTCATGGGTGTCAGCATCATTTCCTTCCATCTCCTCCACAGCCCATTTCCAGCTCTTTGTTTCCCAGCCCAAGCCTACTTGTGCCTGCTTCCTTGAAAACATCTTTGGAAATCCACGCACAGCCCACTCTGGAACAATCCGTAAGTCAACACCAGGCATCTGAGCTGAGAGGGTGACAGAACCAGTTGGCAGAACCTGTGTCATGGCCACTTTCCCCTCAGCAATAGCAGTCCCAACTGTCACATATTTATGAGGTCTGCTTGCTTACTTATTTACACAATACTTAAAAATTTACTGACTTTGGGAAAACTAATCGCTCTCAAAGATGTGCAGGTAACCATCACTCCCTTATCTCCCAACACCTCTTTATTTAGCAGCCTCCTAGCGTGCATTCCGGTTTCTCTAAACTACCTGTGGTGGACTAAATCACACAAGGCGTTCTTTGTACCAGAAACTATTCTCGTCAGCTGATGCTGCACACAATTAGAGAAGCGCTGCTGGCAACTGACTCTGTAAGTAGAGGCCCTTTCAGGACCTTTCCTGATGACCCTCCACAGCCAGCTTCCCATTTTGACCTGGGTCATGGTTGCAGGATCTCTCAGGCTTGCTAACTAGAGGCTCCTCGGTGAAAACATTGGTACTTGCAGGGTCGAGCATAAATTGTCCCTGTTGGTATGTCTCATTTACAGGAGAAAATATGTTTTCCTCACACTGATGTAATTGGTTCTAGAGAAGGTCATCTCCTTTCTAGACACTTTAGGCACTTAGGGTATCACTAGGTATCACCTGAGTAATCAGAGAGTTCATATACTCCGTGAACAGTGTGCCACTACTACACCTGTTGGAGTCCTCTGCAGAGATGCTACATCTTGTCCCTAGATAAAACAGTCCATTGCTGATCAAAGATTGGACCCAAACATCAGATTCATTAATTAAATTCCCAGCAATCATGTTAGCATAGGAGAATTCCATGGCCAAGTATTGAACCTATCTGCACATTTTTACAGATTTTTTTTGGCCAGGACAATGATCTAGCAGTGTCGTTCCACCAATAACAACAACTATTTATCCAAGGTCATCCCTCTGGTGTAAAGAATTCAAAATAACTTTTCCCCAATACCCAAGTACAATTCAAAGCCACTTCTTACTTTGTACATATTAAGCTTAATCTGCAGAGGCTCATTTCAATCCTCAGGGAAATAAATTAGTTTGAATTTCTGACCACATACTACACTTGAGATCTGATGATATTAACTTCAGCCCCATGAGCACAATGATTTGTAACCATTTAGAGGCCGCTAAACTTACAATTAGGCAAAATTCAAGGGACTTCCTTTTTTTTGCCATGCTAACTTAATGACTGACCAATGCACCTGTTGTCCAAAAAAAATGCCACTTGTAATATAGACAAGGAACATGTGTTCCAGACCAAGGGTAAGGGTTCTATAGCCAATGGTAAACAGATGTTATAGGACGTCTCACCCCCTCTGCTGGCTACTCGCTCTGCTCTGACCGTGGCAGATACTTATACAGACAAATTACACATCCTATCATAATGGCCCTGCTGAAACCAATATGTAAGGACTCATTAGGATACTCTAGAGATAATTGACATTATCAACTCAATTTTGAAAAAAAAAAAAATTGTCTCTCCCAAAAGCATTTGGTGGACCTTGTACTCTCTTACGTCCCAGGCTATAACCTTCATAGGGTGTCTTAATGGTTTACTTAAATTTTACTTTCTTATATATAGATAGGTCTTCCTGCTGTACAGGGCATTAGTTAGATTCAATCCCCAGTTATTGAGGCCACTCTTTTTGCTCTGTTCATCAGGCTTATGGGCACCTTATCTGAAGAGACTTTCTTTACTTGACATTTGTCAGAATGGTCAGTTCTGTAGTTTTGGGCTTGTAATGTTGCATCCAGCCACCATTCTTAGGTCTTACTCCTTGGTCCTCTTCCTAACACCACATGTATAGTCTGTGTACCCTGAATATCAATATTTCCTTTTGCATACCCTTCTTAAAAACCCTTCTTGCCCATGAAATATAAATGTGCTGTTTTTACACTATTTGCATGCATGTGCTCATTGTTGTGAAATCGAATTAAGGAAACTTCATTTAAAATCAACTTAGGAGGCAAGAAGGGGAATTTTCATGCACTACTACTTTAGATCAATTGCATACCCCCAAAAGGAAACAGATAGTCACAGGCCCCAACAGGAAGGGACATACCTTGCATTCCAGCAGGAAGGTGTCTCTACTATCCCAGAAGGAATAAGATTTCTCTTTGCCCAGCAAAAAGACTACCCAATGGGAACTTCTAAAACTCAACCAATGAGGAGCCGTCACCACCCTGAACTCTTACTTCCCTCAGATGGATTTTCATTCCACGCAACCCATCCCAACTTTCTCTTTTTTCTCTATAAAGTAACATTCTTCTTCTTTGTTTGC